GCAGTGGGGCGGCGGCAGTCCCAGTGCCAGGCCTAACCCAGGGCTCCAGCTTCTTCTTCTCAAACCTGAGGGGCATGCCTCTGCTTCACAGTGACCCCAAGAGAGGCAGAAAGGGCAGATTCCTCCCACTTTACAGATGAGAAAACCAAGTCCAGGAGGAAAAATAAATAAAAATCAAAGGCTTACCTAGGCCACTCGGCCAGAAAGTAGATACAGCTCAAAAGCTGCCTCACCACTATCCACTCTACAAGTGAGCAGTGCTATTCATCTTCACGTGCCATTGGCCGAGGCACAGAACACTTCCGCCGCAGGTCCTGTTTTGCTCCAGCACAGCCGCCCTTGCTTCATAATACCACGTGCGGGCGCGCACGTACAGTGCAATTGAAACTTCGTGGCCCATGCGCAGAAGTCGGTATTTTGTGGAAGAGCCACACTCAAGGGGCCAAAGAGCCGCATGTGGCTCGCGAGCCGCAGTTTGCCGACCACTGACCTAGACCAAAGATTCTCAAAGCCCTGCTCTACGTAGTCTCCTGGGGACTCTGATGACCAACCAAGAATGGGTCCACTGTTTAGACAACCATCACCTCTCCCTCTATTCCAGATAACAAAACAGAGCCCCTGAGAGAAAAGGAAATATAAGGATACTGAGCAGCCCACAGCACAGAAGTACCTGAGGCCTCACCATTTCACCAGTGTTTCCGGGCCCTGCTGGATGGCACCAAGCAGTGACAAAGCACAAAAGCAAGGTCCAGAGCGTGGCCAGCTCCTTACTACCCGCAAAGGTGATCCAAATGAAAAATGCAATTAACAAAGGGGTTCAACCCCCTCCTACAAGCCAAAGAACCAGCCTTGCACGCCAGCCTGTTCTCCATGTGACTCCATCCTCTGTAACCTTACCACCCCTCCTTTCCGCACCCCTAGGCCTGCAAGCCCAGGCCCAGACCCAGAAGTGGAAGTGGAAGGGCAAAGCCATACGGGTGCCTCTTCATGCTCCTGCTTCTAGAAAAGGCCCCTCATGGCCACATACAAGTAGAGCACAGGGAAGGCCAAGGTCTGGTGTGCCAGGGCAGGGAGGGGAACAGGAGCCTGCTTCCCTTCCCACGGGCATTAATCTCACTCTTTAAAGGCCACCAAGGAACAGGGGTCATCATCCCAGTTCACAGCCCCGGGCTAGGAGCTGAGCACCTGCTTGTTAAGAATTCCTGGCCCGGCCCGGAACACACCACTAGTTGGGCCCACAAATGAATGAATGAATGAATGAATGAATGAGTACAAGATGACCCAAGGAACTTGACAACCCTAAGAACTCAAGTAACTTACACCCAGGGCCCAGGAGCAAGCTGCCTCTGCACACTATCTCTCACTACCCTAACATACATTCTTGTCCACCACAGCTCTGCTGTTCAAATGTGGCACCTCAATTCATCTTTGACCTAAACAATATTTCTTGATATGAATGAATGAATGAATGAATGAATGAATGAATGAATGAATGAATACAAGATGACCCAAGGAACTTGACGACCCTAAGAACTCAAGTAACTTACACCCAGGGCCCAGCAGCAAGCTGCCTCTGCACACTATCTCTCACTACCCTAACATACATTCTTGTCCACCACAGCTCTGCTGTTCAAATGTGGCACCTCAATTCATCTTTGACCTAAACAATATTTCTTGATTAATTCATGACCAATGTTCCTGATGACACAGGAACATGTAACACATGGACCTCGGGAAGAAGTCCCAGTGGAAGGCACAGTGGTAGGCAGATGGCAGCATTCATGCTACTCACCAAATGTTTTCAATCCTCTTCCCTTCCCCATTTTGTAGGTAAGTATAGCCATGTGACTGCTTTGGGCACTGAAATGCCACTTCTAGGTGGAAGGTTTAAGGACCTGAATGAGATTCAGCGTTCTCTCTGTCCTCCTGTCCACGTGGATAGGAATGTTTCAATTAATCCACATGGGTCCCACAGCGAGAACATAAAGCAGATATGCAATAGGTGTGGTGTGAGCAAGAAATGATCCTCTGCTGCTTTAAGCCCCTGAAATTTGAGGACTGATACCAGAGTAAACCCTGACCCATCTAGACAGTCACAGACACTCGCCAACTTTCTGTGCAGCGCACGTCTTCCCTTTTCCCAGCCCCCCAGTATGGGAGACAAAAACTCTATCGCCAATCAGCAGGGGTTCAGGGGTACCTGCTATGTGCCCAGACAGATGAGATGCTCTCAGAAGCAGGGGATATAAGGGCAACCTGCACTAGACTTACTAGTCCCGGGGTGGGCCAGGCTTATTCGGTGTAGTAATCAACTTTAATCACTTCTGAGAAGACATCAGTATCTAGATTAGAAATGAGGAAACCCAGCTCACACTGTGACCTCTCTGGTCTGTAAAACGGGGCATTCACATTATCTACCATACTCTGTCTTTTCAAGAATGAAGTGAGTTAATACAAGTGAAGTTTCTGGGATGGTGCTTGGTATAAGTCTCAAGAAACTTCTATTACTAAACGCTAAACCTTCCACATAATTGCTGTAAGCTTGTCCATAATCTCCACAAGATTTTAAACCCAGAGGTTTCCCTGGACTGGCACAATGGCACTCCGTAGGCACTGCTCAACTGAAGTTAAACAAGCAACAAGTCAAATCTCAGGACCTGGTAGCCTAGCGTTAGACCTCAGGAGATGTTCCAGAACCCAGGGCTCCCTGCACTCCCTGCTCCCTGGCCTTCGTGGGGAGTTCACCCCCACCACAGACATGCACAGTAGCCTCCTCCCCTCCCACAAAGAGCATGAGCTTTGCCCTCCCACTCCCAAACATGGGAAGGGAGGCACCCTCACCTGTCCTGAGCGATTGGCACAGGTGTTCAGATAAAAGGGGAACTTCCTGGGCAGCCAACCCTTCTGCACACCCCCGCCCCCCCATGCTTCCTAGAGGCAGCCACAGACCTCCAGAGCAGCAGTGGCCTGAACTCCTGTTGGCCTGGAAGCTGCTGCGAAGCTGAACCCAAGCTCAGATCCACACTATGAGCACTGACTCCATGTCCAGCCTGGGCTCGAAGACCACACAGAGCTGACAGCCAGCGGGCAGTTGTGGGCCTGGAACAGTGCTTGCAACAGCTCCTGGCCCCCTGGCCCCCACAGTCTCAATCATGCTTTGTTAAACAGATCGATGATCACCTCTGGTGACCCAGCAGTGGGGTTCAGAGATGTGGGGATGACTAGATCTGAAAGTGGGGTGCAACAAAGGATGACACAGTAAGAGGGAAACCACACTGGTAGTCTGGGCTTCCAAGGCCTGTCTCCAGACCTTATGGATCCTCAGCTCGGGACAAAACTCCGTGACAGCTGGCAGAGACGCTAGAAGAGCAGATCAGTCGGTGATGGAAGAACATGAGCCTCATTCTGAGAGTGGCAGGGCCCAGGAGGATCCCTAAAGGGAAAGGCACCTCAGGGGCTGGCTGAATGTAGAGGGGATGTGAGGGTGCGGGGGGGGGGGGGGGGTGTTCTGATGGCCTAGGCCCCAGGTCTCTTCACAAATAGGGAAAGGTGGCCCTCACACTCAGCAGGCACTAAATTTCCCTACTTTGAGGTCAAGAGGGAGAGGAAGGCTACTTTTGAGGATTTGGCAGACAGCTCCACCCACTCCTATCAGCCCCAGGGCAGCCCCCATCTCTGAAGGGAGAAGACCCCTAGCGAGCAGACCACAGGAGAGAGGGCACCCACAGAGGCTCCAGTGCAGTGCATTCGTGGCACTGGACAGCCAGCTACCAGGCCAGCACCAGGGTGGACAACTGCTCTCCGCCACCCCACCCAGCCAGGCCCCTACACACACCCAGCATGACTGCTCCTAGCCAGAGACCAACTTCACTTCCCGGAGATACGTGTCCCAGCGGTCCCAAAGCCAAAGTGTGTGTACACACACACACACACACACACACACTTTCTAGCCACCGGCATCCCTTCCCTTCCGAGCCAACTCAGTAGCCACAGACCCAACTCGACCGAAGCTCCAGTTAGGTCAGGAGTCGGACTTCACTCCCAGGCACAACCCCAAAAGACCAACACGGAGAAGCTGGGTCACCACCTACTCAAACTCCAAGCCCGTGCCAGGCAGAGTGGTGCGCACCCCCGCGTTGGGCGACTTGTGGCACCCACGGCGGGGCGGGGGAGGGG